ATTGTTTAAAATGAAAATGGTAAAAGCATTGCGCTGATAAGCACCTGACAAGCAAAACAAAAAATGGCTCGTATTAAAAGTATTACTGTTCCACGGCTGCCGTGCATATTGTGCAATATTAAAAAAAGATATGAAACTGAAAACAAAACAAGGACCAAGCGGCAATGCTTTCAACTGTAATGATAAATGAACGCAAACTCTGAACATAAATCAAGAAGGGGTGGGGTGAGGTGGGTGCGTTTGCACCTCTGATGCTGATGGGATAAGACCGACTTCGGTGGCGAACTAACTATAGCCACGGCCCCCTTTTGGATGATTTAAGCGCGACTGCCTCGACTCGAAAATGTGTTGTGGGAAATATGCATAAAAGGAACACGGCAAAATATCACGGGAAAACAGTGGAGCCCCGGACGCAGTGGTGTATGCACGCGTACAATATTTTTAATTTTTCACATTTTTAAATAAATAAAAAAAAAAGCCGAAAGGTGCAGACCAATCCCGTGTCCGACCCGTAGGAAGACAACTACGGAGCGAGAAAGACCCGATCCGGACGGAGGCAAGTGGCGCTGCCACAGAAACGGCACCCATGTGGGTCAGCCCACCCCCTTTTCCACTCACACAAACACATTTAAAAAAAACAAAATGCCACACCACTATATCCATATGTATTCGCATTCCGAGTCGCATCGGACGTTGCCGCATCGAGTTGAAACATTTTTTTGTAAAATTTACCCAAGGGATATGTCCGGGGTATATCGGATCTAGACTAAAGTTGGAACGTTCAAAACTTTTTTAGAAGCTTATTCTTATTTTGGAGTTCTTTAATTTCAGTTATGGTTTTAAATTCAAATTCGATATTTTTTTTAAATTTTATTATAGAAACCTATTTATAAAAATTATAGATTGCTTAATTCTTTAGGTCCCCCATACATTTAATGAAATTATACTAATTATAATTAATAAGTATTTTTATTAGATGTAAAAAAACCAAAACAAAAAAGAAAACCAAACCAATAAAAACTAAATAAATGTACTAGAGGAGAAATATTCAAAAGGTCCAAGAGGTATCTTACTTGGAAGTAATTTTGTAGCAAAAATATTTTTTAATTATGTAGTTAGGTTAATAAAGAACCATATAATGATTTCTGAAGAAAAAAACTTTAGAAACCAATATTGCAGTATTAAAGGGTAATCGCTCTTCGAACCCTGGGGATGGCAGCCATTTCGCTTGTTTCGAAATTGCATTGTGAATAATGTAGTGTTAATTCTCGAGAGTGCCATGTTCCCTGTTTTATGGGTTTAATGCTTTTGTTTATTGGTCTGCTGTTGCGTCAAGTAAGCATCGGTGTCGGCTTCGGCTTTGGCTCCGGTTTCAGCTGGACGCCACAGGACTGGGACTCCTGGCAACAAGGATATGCCAGGACATGTGGGACTTACGAAACGCCGGTGCCTCTGCTGCTGCTGACGTGCGATAAGAAACGCGCACATTGTTCGGCCTTTGGCTTTGAGCCCGGTAAGTTGGCCAGTTGGCCAGTTGGGAAGGTGGGGGGTTGGCGGGCCGGTGGACAGCTAACAGGACTAAAAAATTAAATTTGCATTTTGCCGTTCAGCGCGCCAAACGACTCTGGTGACAATTAATGCCATAAATAGTCCCAGTCCGGGCAGTGTCATAAATATCCAAAATAGATACTGAGGCAGTATGTAAGATATCGCTAATGTCAACACCTCACGGATTCCGCTACGAGGGAGTGCCTGCCGGGACACAGTATTCCGATTCCGATTCCGCTGAATTGATGTCCCCAACAAACATTTTAATCGATTCTTTATCGCCTTTCAGCACGAACACTTTGGGAATGGCATGCATATATTAAGCTCGTAATGGACAATCAATAATTATGATTGACAATATGGTCGCCGTCGCAATTCATTAATTGATGGCCTGACAGACACATTTGGTTCCGAGGCTTCCAGACTGAAATTCGATTGCAATTGTTTGCATTTTGTTCGATTCCCGTCCGAAATAGGCACATCCATAAATAAAAGTGTTCAATTCATTTTTCTGACGTATAATTGTCACATTCTCTGAAAGGATTTTTCCTGAACTTATATGGTAATTTAAGAATCACTGAAAATTTGGATTAGGTGTGATGTTGATGGTATGTAACACTCCTTTCATACATGTATGGAATCAGAGTGAAAATAATATCAAAAAACCTTTAAGTCATTGTTTTCATTAGAAGCTCTCAGAATCTGCAGAATAATGGAACTATGAAATTGTAAGATGTGGACACACAAAATATTTAAATTAATTTGTTCAAGCCCTATTAAAATTTATAACCGGCAGTGCCTTCAAAAATAACGAAGATAATGAAGTTTATTATTATTTGAGGGCATTTTCCACCTTTTATACTTTGAGAAGCCTTTCCAGTTTAAAGTTTGGTGTTCAGTTCGGTAACTGCTCAATAATAATGTCTGCCAGCGGTATAATGTTTTTGGGTCGCCCACAGATACTCACGGTCACATAGAGACACCCCATCCACCCACAACACACAGCAAGGACACACATGGGCCCACATGAATGTTCTCACATCGCCAAGCCCGAATAAACAATTTTAATAATTTCGTTTTATGAAAATTGCGCTCGGGTTAAATGATTCGAGAAGAATGCGATGGAAGGCAAAGTCGTACCGTTTAATGTTTGCCACGGCGAACCTGTTCACATGACTGGCGGCGTTGTTTGCCTCCCTTTCATCCTTCCGCTCCCTGCCAAGTCCTGCCTGCTTTCGGCTCGCATTTCAATCATTTTGGAACAGTGACTCCAGGACCTTTAACCCGCCCTGCAACTGGACCCTGTCTAATCAGCAAAAGTCGCTGCAGAAAATCTCTTTTAAATGAGCCACTAATTGCAAACTGAAAGATAATACACAAAGACCACCTCTGCCCTCCGCCCCAAACTCCAACTACAAACTAATCAAGGGCCATACACTTCTGGGCGAGTAAAGAAAAAAATAAGGAATTCCCTAGTTAAAGGAGCAATTATCGCAGCGATAGGAGGACGAGTTTGGTTTTGCGGCAAGTTTTGTGAGGATAAGTCCGGCCCTCTGTTTGTGAGGCACGTTTATCAGTCGGTAAGTTTCTGCAGATACTTCCAACTTGCTCTCCCCCCATTGTTAGCTTTTTCTCCTCTAATGTCTATCTGAGATGTGCCGCTAACTTTTATTTCGTACGCATTGTTGGGCATCTGGAAAAGGGCTTTTAAAAGTTACCATCGCACATGTGAGGACTGTCCCGCACAGATACATTTTACATAGTTCCTAATCAGTAACCGGATTTGCTCGGTAAGCATCTTAGGGTGGGCTCATCTTGAGCTCCACTGGATTATGGGATATGTCCGCCCACCCATTTCTGCGCAAAAGTTTCCAACAACTTTTTTTGTATAATCACAAAAATATGCTGTGCTGCTAACTTAGATGTGCGAGCTTGAAGTGATAAATAAGCCAAATTAATGCTAATGGCGCCATTAGATGCGACGCTCTTTGCTAATTACTCGGCCTCCTACTTGACATGAAATTGAATGAAGAAGAGAGTCCTTCAAACTGCATTAAAATCGCAATATTTGACTTATTATATTGTGTACTTGTATCCTCTGTTTACTTATAATTACGTTTCAGAATTTTGTAAATCAAACAGACCAAATTAAGAATATATTATTTTATTTTATACGAACTAATAAGACCTGCTTGAAAGGAAATCATTTAGAACGTTTAAAACTTGTTTCGTATCGTCACATTTCTTTGTCCAACCTACAATAAACAGCAAAGCTTCTCTGTTCTTATTGACCTATTCGGCTTTAGTTAACAACAAATTACATACAGCATAGAAAAGCAATTGAGCTGAAGTATATAGCGTAGTTAGTCGCCTAAATGGCCTATACCATTTGCATATAAAATTTCAAAAACCTGTCAAAATAAGTGAGGCAAATTAACATATCCTCCTTGTATATGGTTACAAGACGGTTTAGAATATCATTTGAGAAGTTTAAAAACAGCTGAAAAACACCAAATTAATATGGATGCCTCAGTTAAGATTTATACATTTATCTTTGCTTTCATTTATGGCAAGTCCTGAATCACCTTATTTCGAATAGATCGCAAGTGTCTAAAACCACATCTTTGTAAGTTGATACCTAAATCTCTGGCTTTAATTCATGTAAGTAATTATAGTTATTTCCAGTCCTTTTGGAGTTAACGAAAGGTCGGCGAAACCAAGATAGTTTTCTACAGTGGATCTAGATCCGTTTTTGTAAAGGGTCTGGATGAGGGGCTCCTATGTTGCTCTTTTGCTTGTAGATCCTTCTATGTGTTTGTCTGTTTAAATTCCTATTTAATTAATCTTTCCACTGCATGTTATTTTGTTTGCCCAGCTTCCAATGTTTTTTTAAAACGGTGGCTTGAAAAACAAACACTATTCGCACTTTTATATTCCAACTCTTAATAAATTTAATTATTCAGCACCTTTTTAATAAAATTCAATGAAATCAGTTGCTGAAAATTAAATTTCACCTCCACTCTGAGGCAAAGGGAAAAAATGTTAAATTTAATTTGATTTATTTGCAGTGCTCGCTTTGAAGTTTCCATTTGGTCGGAGAACGGGGGTCTGGAAGCTGGGGCGGATAGGATGTGGATGGAAAGAGTGCTGGGATGGTGAAGGACCAACAGTGAGGTAGACAGCTTGATTGTATATGAGATTATTTGAATTACCTTTGCAATCAAATTGACACCGCATAGACATCCCGGACTGACGGGGACAGACAGTTGGACAGGAAGCTGACAATGTCAACTGACGGGTCCTCTTCCTTTAAATGCAGCGCGGCTCATGAACCGCCGGAAACTGCAAGCATACTATCAAGCCGGCTGTCTGGGTGGGGCTCCAGTTAAAATGAGATTCCCAATTAATGTAATTTTACCTAGCACGTTGAAAGCCAGTAGGCTATGAAATAATTGTAGCCCCAGCTCCAGATATTCGGCATCAGCAATCAACCCCTGTCCAGCCTATTCACGTAGCTACATATCTCCATAATTTATAATATTAGCATGTCGGACTTTGAATGGGATTTCAAATGGGTGGATGATGGCTATGCCAAGGATTTTGATAACTCGGAAGACATAGAAGATTTTTTGAAGCAGTGGAAGAACTCCATTAAGCAGACCGAATTGGAGGGCGCCCTTGAGCTTTTCGACAAAGGTAGCTCCGATGGCCTCGATGGGGAGCACTCGGTGGGGAACAAAAAATCTCCCAGCATAAACTACTCTCATGCTCTCCATAGTCTTAAGATTTCGGAGCAAAAAAAGCTTGCTCCACAGAAGGAAGTGTGCGACAAAAGGTCTAGGAACCCCAGCATGTCAAAAAAGGTTCCACCGCAGGTAAGTTTCTGGAGCATGGGGTCTTTTTTCATAATATCCCAAGTTCATAATATACTCCTTTGTTAGGCCTATAACTTTATGAACATTTATTCGGAGCGCAAGGATCAACTGATCCGACAGCAAAAAGAGCAGGAGCGAAAACAGCGGGAATTCCGCAGTCGACCAATGCCGGACTTTCGCCTCGTACACGAACGCCAAGCCATCAAGGTGGTCGTACACCGTGTCACCCATCCTGTGACCCCCAATGTGCTCAAGAATTCCCTGGAGATGGAAGCCAAGCGTCGGCTAAGGGTTGAGCAGCTCAGGAAGGAACGCCATCTGGAGAACCAGTCCCATCGCCTTCAGGCTCCGAAGGCCAAGGCCGTTCCTCAAAGCTCGCGTCGTCCTCTGAAACCGGAGAATCGTCGCTCCCACATTTCCGTATTAAAGGTTGAGCCCTTCAACCTCTCTACTGAGCTGCGCGCCCAGCGACGTCGCATCTACAACGAGGAGACCTCTAGAATGCTAGAGGCTAGGCGCAGAGAGCTGGAGGAGGAGCGTCAGCGGGCGGAGCGGGAGGCCTATCTCAAGCAGCGGCAGCTTACATCTTTCCGAGCCAAGCCCAATCCATTTGCAGTCCCATCACGTTAGGTTTTGAAAATGTTTTAGATTTCTGTTTAGATGTTTTGTTTGTTAGAAATTCCTTTTGTTGTTGTTTGTAAATATTAGATTACAATAATCACTAGAAGTTCAGTTTTTCCTGGCTTTCAATAAATTTGAACATGGTTTATTCTGTACAGAAAAATGTAACTATTATTAAATGAATTATTATTCGTATTATATTATTCTATTCGTAAAATAAGACTAAAATTAGCTTTGGTTTTTTTGCTGAAGGCTTTTAGCGATAAAATTAGCGATACTCTTACTTCGAACACTATTCTTAATCAATAAACAAATCTTAAATAAAGTGTTAAGGTGTAATCTGTGTAAGTGTAATCTTAAATAAAGACTAAAATTAGCTTTGGTTTTTTTGCTGAAGGGTTTTAGCGATAAAATTAGCGATACTCTTACTTCGAACACTATTTTTAATCAATAAACAAATCTTAAATAAAGTGTTTTGTGTGTTATTGAAAACTTATTGTAAAGATACAATTCAAACATATTTGTGCTAAAACTTTAGTTTTAAGACGGTACCAACAATAAAAATAAGAAAGGATAGACAAAAATTTGTCGTTCGCGCTTGGTTAAAAAAACAACTTTTGAAATTTGGACTACATCATACCATTGTACCGAGTACCGGGTATAAAAATCGATCATTGAATTTTCAATTTGTAGATTTGAAAAACCTACCTGCAAACGTATTTACGTTGTCCACCAAATTTGAAAAATCACTTTTTGAGAAAACCTTGTATGCTTAAAAAGAATTCTGAAGTGCTGCCTCTTAGGTCTCACCTATTTGCACCTCGTGGCCGGTTATTAATATCATTACTGACTGTGCTGAGCAGTAAATAATATTACCTTTAAACAAATGACAAAATATAAAATTTAAGTGAAAAATGGGATGTTGAACCTGTCGGTAATCTTTGTGTTAGTTAGCTTTTGTAAACTGGGCTTCCGCACATTCAATTTGTTCATTTAAAATGGCTTAGGTCGGTGACTCCATCAATCAAGAGTCCTTCCTCCGCCAGCACATCCGTATGGTATATAAACACATAGGTATTCGGATATCCCCGGCACTCGGCCACGCCCACGTGTTCCACTGCAAACAATTTGTTGTAAGTGAATCAATTGATGCGCGTGTGTGTGGTAGGTGTGTGGGAGGGTGTGCGCGTCACATAATCAAAAGCACAAATACTAAAACAAGCACTCAAACTGTCAAAGCGATGATTGATAGTGTTGACATTCGCTTTTTGTCTCCGGCCATCACCCAGCGGGCTGAATTTTTGTACATTGAGCTCCTGTTAATGGGACGTTTTTGGCGTCGGACGCGTCCTTTGAAAGGAGTCGTACCTTCCACTAAAATCGATCTGCATCCCTATTCCTGCCGCCAGCCGTCTGCCTCCTGTAGATTATCCTCGCGTGTGTGGGAATGATGAATTGCATTTCATGTGTTTATCGAACTGCATACACTGAAACCCGTTGGTGTTTATTGCAAATTTGTCGGCAGAGCTTAAAGGTGAGCATCAATCACCAGCCAGAAACAAACAATAATTTCAATAGAAATTATTTGAAATCAGGCAGATGCAAGATGTGGCCAGCATTAAATGGATTTAATGGACAATTTAAAAGATTTCAAACAATTATGGAGCCAAAAATTTGTGCCAAATTATATTAGTTATTAGTCTATTTTGATTAGTTATATTTAATATTATATATTATAATATAATATAATATTATATATTATATTATTTCGTCAGAATGTTCTAAATGGAAACATTGCCGTAGGTCGACAATTGCATCTGCCCTTTTTGTTTTTGGCAGTTCTTGAATATTTTTTTGCACAAATTGGAATAGGGCTTGGCGGTTTTGAGGTGGTGGCTCTACAGCATGGAGTTCGGAGTCTTTCAAAGAATTTCGAAAGGCGGTCATTTCATTTTCTAAAAATTTTTTTTTTGTCTTCAAATTGTTTTGCCATTAGCACACTTTGGCAACGTCCTACAAGATGGTAATTTATAGCGTGGATCAAAAGCCTTCAGCATTTCGCGGAATCCCGTGTCTTCTTCTTCTTTGAGACTGTTTCCAGTCTCTGCTCTGCTATTAGCATTCTGTTAAAGTTACATTCGCCAATAAAAATAATAAGTAAACTGTTCTAACGGTTAACATTGCTTGAACAGTGGCAATGTAAAATTTACATTGTAAATGTTATTCTAACATTTGTAACAGCAGCTGTTACGAATGCTATGTTAAGAATATTTTTATTGGAATATAAAAACAGTAATAAAAATATTTTTTATCCAAAAATCAATTTAAGTAACAAAATATTTTTTAAATTGTTGTTGTTGTTTTAAAAGTTTTTCCATACTTGAGTTGCGCTTGAGCAAAACAACAACAACAAACCTATAGCCTATTACTACCGATTCGTAGGGAAATAGACTAAGAAGTCTATAGCTCCTCCAAAAATCCGATTTGGCTGATTTTTGATTTGTAGATTATCCACTGGATCAGTTTGGCATCAAAACATTTTCCAAAAACAGTAACGAACTGGCGCTAACACCAGATTCCTAATTTTTTGACACAAACTTCATGTGAGAATCCGCTCCATAAGAGTCCAAGTTGCAAATCGGATATTTATACCCTTGCAGAGGGTATTATAATTTTGTCCAAAAGTGTGCAACGCAGTGAAGGAGACATCTCCGACCCTATAAAGTACTATATATATTCTTGATCAGGATCACCTCCCGAGTTGATATGAGCATGTCCGTCTGTCCGTCTGTCCGTCTGTCTGTCCGTCTGTCTGTCCGTTTCTACGCGAACTAGTCTCTCAGTTTTGAAGCTATCGTCTTGAAACTTTGCACACACCCTTCTTTCCTTTGCACGCAAAATAAGTCGGAACGGCCGGGATCGGCCGACTATATCCTATAGCTGCCATATAACTGATTGATCGGAAATGGTATAACTTTGGTGTTTTTAGAGTTAGAGAGTTCAAATTTGACATGAGAGCTATATTTGGCAAAATATTACGACATGCCAAATTTCATAAGGATCAGCCGACTATATCCTATAGCTGCCATATAACTGAACGATCGGAAATGACCCAACTTTCGTGTTTTTGATGATAGAAAGCTGGAACTTGGTACACATTCTATTTTTGGTCAGTTAATCCGATCTACCAAATTTCATAACGATCGGTTGACTATATCTTATAGCTGACATATAACTAAACGATCGGGAATGGTATTTGGTAGAAATATCAACTTTCGTATTTTTGAAGATAGAAGCTTGCGACTTTTTTTTAGATTTTTTATTGTAATTAATTGGTTTTATTATGATGTTTGCGATATATATCCGGTTTTAGCCCGAAGTTAGCTTTGCTTTCTTGTTTTATCTCTTATAGTCTTCGAGTCTTCGCGTTTAAATTTTTGGCCCGATTGTATGAGCAATTATATATATATAATTATATATCCTTTAAAAATCGGCTGATTTGGATCAAACTGCGCCAATCGACTATATTGACTCGGATGTTGATGCTTATCAAGAATATATATACTTTATGGGGTCGGAGATGATTCCTTCTCAAAGTTACATAATTTCACACGACTACAATATACCTTTGTAATCTACGAGTACCAAAGTTGGTACTTTCACCAAATGCAATTTCCGATTTTTTAGTTATATGGTAGCTGTAGGGTATAGACGGCTGATCCTTATGAAATTTGGTAGGTCGGATCAATTGGCTTAAAATATAATCTTTTAGAAGTTCAAACTTTCCATCTTCAAAAAAACACGAAAGCTAGGGCGTTTCCTGTCAATCAGTTTTATGGCACTTATGTATTGTATGTATAGGACATGGGCGTTCCTACTTATATACTGCGTGCAAAGGAAAGCAGGGTATGTGCAAAGTTTCATGTCGATAGCTTCAAAGCTTAGAGACTAGATCGGACAGACGGACATTCTTATATCCCCTCAGGACCCTGACCAAGAAAATGCTTTGCAAAATTGTGACCAAAATGATAATCCTGTCCTGGGTTATTTCTTCGAGGCCAAGCACTACCTCATGTAGCAGGTTACATGTACCTCGGAGTATATTTAGACATGCGGCTAATGTTCCGAACACACACAAAAAAAGCCATTAATAAAACGCTAAAGAAACTAAGATGGCTTCTTAATAGTCGGAACAAGTTATCCCTACGAAACAAGGTTTTAATATACAAAGCGGTAATTCCTCCTTCATAAAGCAAAGCAAAATATAATTTTAACGAGATTACATTTGTTCAACCCAAAACGTTACGGATGATATCTGGAGCATCTACTCAGAAGACTGCAAAGATGTCACCCCAAAGATGTCCCAAAAAGATTAATTAAAATATGGGGAAATAATTTAAAAGTGATTGACTTTTATTTGATTGACAAAAAAAAAGTGATTGTGATGTGATTGTAGCACCCTTACGGGGTATAAAAACTAAAAATATTTCTTAAGTTTAAGTTTCGTATTATATAAAGATTTGTGTGTATTCGTATCAATTTTTAGTAAAAAAAAAATATCTTTTAAAGTCACTGAGTGGATAACTTCCAGGTTCGCTCCAAGGACCCACTGGATTGCCAGAAAGTCAAACTCTTTGCGTATCAGTTTAATGACGGCAGCAGCACAAAGATCCTTTCAAATGGGATTAGTAGTGACTAAGCAGCCACAAAAAGATTCTGCGTTACGAGGGCAGGCAAGCAAAAGTACGAGGTGACAAGCATCAGAGTTCATAATCATGCGCGGTCGGAATTGCGTGTCTTGCATTTAGGATGCGGATGCAAAGATGCGTGGGATGCGAAAGTACGAGTATACGGTGCTCGGTGTATGGTGTTCGACCGGCAAGCGAAGAAATTGCGCATTCAAGGCGGAACAATTTGCCGAATTTGATGGGCGGACCTTGGGGTGGAACGTGGCTGGGGGTTGCGGTGCGTCGGAACGTCTTGCGCCTTTATATTTTGGCTTTTATGGGACGAACCTCGCGGTTAAATGAGACGGCCGGGGAAGGTGAAGTGCCAGGATAG